GGCAAATGCAGCTGTTATCGGCCTACACTTTAGGAGATTCACTCAGCAGGGAAGACGACTGACGGCGCGATGGAAGTCAGCAGGCACACGAACTCAATCACAACTTCCCGTAGCCACCTCCAGACGAGCTAATATCGAGGATGAAGGTGTGAAATGCGAACCAACCCCACGAAGCACGTTCTTTGAAAGCCTAGTTCCAGACAGATCCTTGCGTGCCCATATAAGTTAGCACTTGCACCCAGTCAAATGCCAGCTAAGGAATCAGAGGGCACGCAAAGGTCGAAACTGGAAAGACTCTGTGGAAACTGGAGGCTTCGAAGGTACGAGGAGAAGAGTCGACCGTGAGAATGGCCGTGCTGCTTCTTTCGAAATCACTCAACGCTGCTTTCGACGCCTTGCGCGCTACGAGGTGAAGCAGGCAAGGCACTTCCTACGAATCCCAAGGGGGAAAGTGGAGAACCTGTAGGAGTATACCAAGACTCTGCAAAAGAGAAGTTTGAAGAAGCTTAGGGAGAGATTTTGTAGGACCTTGGGGTTGACAGGAAGGTATGATAGTGGGTTGTTGATAGTGTTGGGATGATGATGGAACTGGACATCCTGCAAGACCCTACCTTACCGCTCATTACGCTAAACAACCGTTCATCGGAAAAACAAACTTGAATCCCATGAAACCACTTTCATCAGTGGAGTGGAGTGGACCCTTGGGCTGGATGGGTGTCAGCGAGAGAACTGCCTTGAAATATCGGGTCGCAAGGTGAGTGATGCTACGAACTTGGAGCGATCCGTGCGACGTGGAGGTACGGGGAAATCGAGGTGAGCGACAAAGAGGATAGCGTCGCTATCCCAAACCGAGGATAGCGACACAGATGATTTGGGGCAAGCGAAGACCTTGGGAAATGGATCCACCAGTCGCACGTTGCCCTTGGGGGTTCTGCGGGAGGACGACTCGATGACGCGGCACGACACGCAAGCGAGTTTCTGATCACTGGTCGCACGGGCCCAGCTGGCGCCGCATACGACTCTCTGAAGAGAGGTCGCGAAGATTGACGTGGCCCAACAGAACGACCCCAACAACTGAATCGCGAAACTCGAGGTGTAAGGACCAATTGGCGGCGCTGCAGTGTCAGCTTTCTCCTCGGTCGAAGGGATTGCCCCACCCGAACTGTCGTTTGGCCACGAAAAAGGTGGAATGACGTGGCCACCAGAACAGGATGAGGCATAAGCGAGGCCGACCACAACCAGCATGATTCGTTAGTACACATACTAGCACAGTTTTTGCACCACTCCTTACGGTGAGAACACAATACGGTAGTAACCACCATATACTACCGTACTACATTTGTCATTGTCGCTAGGTGTAAGGAAAAACCCTTTTCCTTACAGGGGTTTACTCAACCGCGTACAACCCCAACTTTCGGAAGTGCACGTTCGGCCACTTTGCTTGCTGCCGAAGCAACCTCGCGTCGCCTTCGGACTTTTCTTTGCCCAACCTGCACCCAACCTCGTGTTCCCGAGGTTCCCGCCTAGCTAGGTTGACCCACTATATTAGCGCGTGCCTTCATTGTATTGTCAGTTCATCGAGTCACATCTTCGTTATTCGTTATTCCGCGCACTCTCTTTTACAACTCATAACACCTGGTATCAGAGCTACTTTCCTAGTTCACCCCGCTTTTCGAGGGTAGTTTGGTGGCACGGGTGTGGTCGGTATAGTGGACTACACGACGGTTGGCTGCAAGGTTTGTTAATTCAATCCTGCCCGACTCCGATAGTTCGTGTTTTTCACTCACCGGAAGGCCACGGATACCCCTCTGCCCACCAGACGAAGCGTGCGACTCATGGACCAGGAGACATTGAACAAGATGCTGGCGCAAATGGCAGAGCTACAAGCAACAGTGCTGACTCTATCAGCAGAAGTGACAACACTACGAGGAGAAAACGCCGAGCTACGCCAGACGCGAGGTGAAGCGCGTCAGGAGTCGCCCGATGAAGAAGGCGAGGGCAACAGTCAAGCGGTGAGCAACCCGTTGGACGCGCTCACACGTGATTTCGAAGAAGAGGATAGGCAGCGAGCGGCAGCGACGCCAATTGCAGTAACGACGATCAAGATTAAACCTGTCAACCCGCCCCCGTTCAACCCTACGGACAAGACTACTACAGTGAAGGGGTGGCTTTTCGGCGTTGAAGTCTTCTTCACTGCAGCAGGCGTGAACGACGACGCCACGCGTATTAATTACGCAGTTTCTCTTCTTCGAGGCGCAGCGCTTGAGTGGTGGCACCGAACCTTGGACACGGGGACCCCGACAGGTGTGACACATGCGGCAGACGGGACTTCAACGTCGGTTAATCAAGTGGCAGCACCGATATTCGGCGTGACCAAGATACGCACGTGGAAGGAGTGGGGCGCAGCCTTACGAGATCGCTTCGAGCACATATCCGGCTCGGAACAAGCTCGCATGAAGCTGCATGCCTGGTCGCAGTTGGCATCTGTCCAAGACTACACAGCGTCATTCATGGCACTCGCCGACCAAGTGGACGACATGTCGGAGGCGGAGCGGTTGGATAAGTACGTCAGCGGCCTTAAATATGAGATACAGTACGAGGTGCGCCGATGCCGCCCGACAACGTTCCTGGAAGCAGCACGGTTGGCAGAATCCACGGACGCGCTGATGCAGTACGCGAGGTCGAGTTTCCGGGAGGGAAATCGTTTTCGCGGCCAGACCCAACGGGCCACGATCAACGGAGTCCATGCACCAGACCGCCCCTACACAGGGTTGTGTTATAAGTGCGGGAAGCCGGGTCACAAATATGCAGACTGCCCCGAGAGAACGCCGGCGAAGAAGAACGACGGGAAAGAGCCGGGAAATGGGAAGAGTCAGTAACAGACGGGCCCCTTACTGACTGTGCTCTGTCGCCCGAACACCATCATCCCCACCGAGTCGTGATTCCGATTCATGCAATCGATCGCACTCGGCCGAATAACGGGGATAACCATGTGGATCACCTTGTGCTGGTCGTTGGCAAAGTGTTAAAAAATTACTTGAAAATGTTCGTCGACGGAGGGGCCAGCCATAGCCTCTTCAACTTGGCGACAGCAAAAAAATGCAAGCTACAACTTGACAAGTGTCTGCCCGAAATCGACGCTCGCCTCGTGGATGGGACGCCTCTGGCGATTTTGGAAGAAACACGGACGGTTCGGATCGACTGCGGCGACGATTTCGGCTTCAGCATGAAGTTTCTCGCGACAACGTTGGACGGCTGCGACGTGCTTCTGGGACGTGATTGGCTGCGACGGCACAACCCCGTCATCGACTGGACAACGGGATCGTGCAGCATCAGCAAGCACGAGGGGCTAATTAAATTGCCTGCATGGACACCTGACTACATCCAAGCCACGTGCGTCAAGGCAATCACTATTGCTCGCCACTTCAACCGAGGCGCGCAGCTGTTCGCCGTATGTTTGCGCGAGTTGGCAATCGACACCGACGGAAAGGACATCGAGAAGCTGTGCGCAGCTGTACCACCTGATTTAGCGGAGCTGATTCGACAGTACCCGGACATATTCCCCGACGACCTGCCACCTGGACGGCCAGACCGAGCGCACCAATCAGACCATGGAGCAGCTGATCAGGACAAACTGCTCCGACCCCACTCGCTGGGAAAACTCGCTCGCCATGCTGGAGTTCGCGTTCAACAACGCCCCGTCCAGCACGACTAATCACTCCCCGTTCTTATTGAATTACGGGATGGACCCGACGGTGCCTACGACGACTACACTCGACAACCCGGTCCCAAGGTCACAAACATTTGTGACGGAACTCCAGGAAGTTCGCGAAAAGGCTGCGGATGCAATTCGCAAGGCGAATACCACTTCCCGTAAATACACCGACCTTCTACGACGGGAACTCGTCTTGGCAGCTGGGCAATTAGTGCTCCTTGACACGAAGAACCTGCACATGCCTGGCCCATCGAAACTCCGGCCACGATTTTGTGGGCCTTTCAAGATCATCAAGATGGTGACACCTGTCACCGCGAAGCTGCTGCTACCCGACGATTGGCGTATACATGACGCCTTCCATGCCAGCCTCCTTCGCAAGTTCGTGCTTGCAACGACAGACATTGCACGCCAGAACGCCGCCCCAACAGCCCGACCTGTCCCAGAACCGACACTTGACCCGTCCAAGATTTTGGCGCATCGTGTTCGGCTCGACGCTTCTGGACGCCACGTGGATTTATTACTCCGCTGGACTGACCGCACCAGTGAGGACGACACTTGGGTGCCATCCGCCTCGCTTGAAGCTTCTCCGCTCCTTGGTGATTACCTCGCCCGCAAGCGAGCTGCGGATATTGACCACCTTTCTTAAAAAGGGGGGGTAGTGTAAGGAAAAACCCTTTTCCTTACAGGGGTTTACTCAACCGCGTACAACCCCAACTTTCGGAAGTGCACGTTCGGCCACTTTGCTTGCTGCCGAAGCAACCTCGCGTCGCCTTCGGACTTTCCTTTGCCCAACCTGCACCCAACCTCGTGTTCCCGAGGTTCCCGCCTAGCTAGGTTGACCCACTATATTAGCGCGTGCCTTCATTGTATTGTCAGTTCATTGAGTCACATCTTCGTTATTCGTTATTCCGCGCACTCTCTTTTACAACTCATAACACTAGGGCTCCTCGTATGATCGTCCTGCTGTGCATCTGAAGAAAAGCTCCTCCTCTGTATGAAAAAGGGATCAACAAACACTACCTACCGAAGCCACATGTGTTACCGTCATCGCTCGGATATAAGACAGTGTTGAATAGTAGACAGGGGGTGTCTACAATACGGGTGTCTCTTATAAACAGGTTAGCCTTTTTATACGACACCTATTTGTGTGTACGAGATAAGACATATATGTCTTATAATCAACCTCGATGTTTAGGGGTTTTCTTATAAAGAGGGGGTGTCTTCTAAACGAACCTTTCTTACTTTAGGGGGGTACATCCATACATGCATGAATCTCTACTTCTACCTAACCCCCCTCGGTCACCGCCTCCTCTGGCGCACTAGCAACAGGCTCTACTCTCAGGTCTGGCACTCGCCAGGCATGCCTAGCCGTCTCCCTAGGCTCGATCATGCGGTCAGCCTCGGCCGCCGCTCCGCGGTAGTTGGGGGTCTCCTGGTACAGCACCTCCAGGCCAGTTGCCACGGCCACCTCCCGCACGCCCTCCGCCTGCATCGCCTCCTCCTCCTCCTCCTCCTCCTCCTCCTCCTCCTCCTCCTCCTCCTCCTCCTCCTCCTCCTCCTCCTCCTCCTCCTCCTCTGGCGCCTTCCCGAGCAGGCGCGTGTTGTCGCCTGTGGTCCCCCCGAGGGACATGTCCTCGGAGACATCGGTGGTGCTCCTGGCGCGCAGGTGAGACATCACCAGGTGGTTCTCCGTTCCGTCCAGCTTGCTGGAGATCCCACAGTGGCGGAACGCGTCGATGATGATCTGCCTGGGGACTTGATCCCAAGCCTCCGCGATCCACTGCAGCACCACGGGGTGCGGAGGCCTCCGCAGGTTCCCTGACGGGTGGGACAGAGGACACGGCAGCGAGATGTTAACGTCAAGGACACGAAACAGAGCAGGAATTAGAAATGAACCGCCAACTCACCCTTCTTCGTCTTCAGGTGGATCCCTTCGCGCATGAACCACCGGGCGTAGCGCGCTCGCACGGCAGCCTTGAAGCACCGGTTGATGGAGACGTCCAGGGGTTGAATCTGGCTCGTACAACCCGCTGGAATGACTGCAGGGGTGATGCTGTGCGTGCGGTACGACTGAAGCATGGTCTGGGTGATGTGGCCGCGGTAGGAGTCCAACACCAGCATCGCACGCCTCGCGCTCTGGCCGCGCTGGGGGTTCAGATGGGGCAGCACCTCCTTGGACAGCCAGGTCTGCACAGCGCTCTCGTCCATCCACCCGTTGTCCTGTGCTTGGACCACGATTCCTGCCAGGCACACAAGGGACAGACGGGCATCAGCATAGTGGGGCACGCTCGCACGGCAAGGGCCAGGTTGAATTCATGGCGCTTACCGTCCGGAATCTCACAGTTGGGGACGTTCTTCATCTTGAACCACACCCACGGCCGCAGCTTATCCCCAGATGCGGTGCACGCTAGCATCACCGTCAAGCGCGTCTTCTGGTAGCCTGCAGTGCGGATTGGGACCGAGCGCGCGCCACGGTGCTCGATCGTCCTCTCGGCCGGCATCTCCACGAACAGTGGCGTCTGGTCCGCGTTGATGATACGGGCCAGGTCGATGTTGTGCCGCGCCCGGTTGATGCGCACGAACTTCCAGAAGGACTCGCAGTCCTTCGCGCACTCTGCAAACGGGACAGAAACAGAAGCGTGGAGGGGCGGTTAGACAACGAGCAAGGTAAGACATGCATACGAGGGGACGTGCGCGGCACGAACTCCTTATCCACGCACCTGCCGACAGACGTTGTCCGACCTTCGTTTTCACCCGCATCACCAGGTTCCAGCGGTCACGGAAACGCTGGCTCCAGTGAGAGCTCGCGTTCCAGTTCTTGCCGCGGTGATGCTTCTTCATCCACTCGCGGCTCCACTTCTGGGTGTCCTTCACCGAGATGGCCACCCCGTTAGCGCGCTGAAGGCAGATGTAGTAGTACAACGCTGCCTCCATGTCGGGGTAGTGTGCGTGGCGGCCCCCCCCGTGCATCCGCTTGCGGCAGTTAGCCGCGCCCTTGTAGATGCCCGCAGCCGCCTCCGCGCTCCAGCGTCTGATGCAGGCGACGCTCGCGGTGGACTCCGCGCTTGTCTTCTTCAAGGAGCCGAGCTCCTTATAGCGGCGCGCCCACTTAAGCTTCTCACGCACGGTCCAGCCGCGGCGCTTCTTCGTGGTGTCTTTGCTGCGAGGGGAAGGTGGGCGGGTGTTGGGATTAGAGAGGGTGGGGTCCTTCGGCGCCTCCTTTTCAGGGAACGTGGGAATCGGGCCCGCCGCCGCCGCGTACTCATCGTCGCTGCCCAACGCCTCGTTGACGATGATGTCGTCAGGATTCGGCGCCTTCTTCGCCTTTTTCCTAGCCGCACCCTTGCTGGATCCAGGGTCACCGTCGTCCTTGCGCTTCTTGTTGCTTGTGCGGCGACGAGCAGGGGCCTTTGCAGGGGCCTTAGCAGGGGACTTAGCAGGGGCTTCCACGACCTTTGCCTTTCCTTTCTCCGCAGCGGTGAGTAGGGGGCGACGCTCCTCCCCGGCACTGTCGTCGTCAGAAAGCACCACGCGGGCGCGCTTCGTCGTGGACTGCAGGCGATGGCGCAGCCTCCGCTTCAGTAGCGGCACGTCGTCGTCTGTCCCAAGGCTCCACGGGTCGTCGTCGGTGCCCTCGCCGTCAAATAAGACGGCATCCGCAGCCACCTTGTCCGCCTCCGCCACCGCGTCCGCATCCGCAGGCGCCTCTGTCTCGCGTTCCGCCTCCGCCTCGTCGGCAGCCACCGCCGCTTCCTGCGCCACCGCGTGGTCACCGCCAGCATCTTCACCTCCGTCGTTGTCGGAATCGCCAGCCCGCCACTCTTCAACCTCGTCGTCGCTCCCGACCGGCTGATTCCACCATTCGTCCTCCTCAATTTCGGCAGGACCTAATTCGTCGCCCGAAGCGCTGTCATCGTGGCCGTTCTCCGGCCAATCCTCCTCCGCGTCGTCGCCTTGTGCTTCGTCTCCGTCGTCCCCGCCACAGCTCGCACCGGAGGCGGCGGTAGGACTTCCCGCCTTGCTCGCGTTCTTCGCCATGGCTACGCGGATGTCATCGCCGGGCGAGTTAATTCGCCCGTAGTTATTCACCTGCACGTGAGGACGAGGTGAGGACTTGCCTAGTGGTACCTTGCTGCGCATGGTTAGAGAGCCTGCCGAGAGCAAGGTTGAGGTGAGAATTCAACCTCCATGAGCACCAAATGAAGTGAAAGCCCGACTACCCCCCCCAGCCAGAGTGCCCCATCCACAGGTGCCGAGCCGCTCCTCTACGAGGCATCTCCTCGTAGAGGACAGCCCTGCTGCTGCCAACGTGCTGCCAGCAGCCTTCTGGAAGCTGCCATGCGCTGCTGGCAGCAAAACGACGCTGGCAGCATCATTAGATGCTGCCAGCACAGAGGAATCTTGCCAGCGGTGGCAACTTTGCTGCATCCCTCACGTGGCAAGTGTGGGCGGTGCATGCATCACCACCGAGGTCGGCCTGTTTCAATGAATCTGGTCCCTGGGTGTTTTCTACACACTTTGCAAGTGTTACAGTCAACTTAATTTTTTTTCCATTTATAAGAATTATAAGACACCCTAAACCATCCCGTTTACAAGATACATCAAGCATTTTTGCCCGTGTACGAGATAAGACATATATGTCTTATATCCGGGCGATGACGGTATTAATTAAACAAAATTCTTGGTGCTGGTGAATCAATGCTACCGACAAATGCGGATATTTACACAATATATATTCAACTACCATTTCCACCCATCCCATTCCATCAAACAATCAAATCAGTAAATAAAGACAGACCTAGCAACAATGTTTTTCACAGCCAAAGGCCCCCTGCAAAACACCATCAGTGCCAGGCTCAAGTCAGGCTACCATCACCACAAAGGCCAGTGAAAGCTGCAGCTATCAGAGCCAAGGATACACCATGTGTAAAGCAATTCCAATGTACTAACACATACCATGTGTGAGAATCGAAGCTGTTGTTGCGATTGTCGCCCATGACGAAGACGTGGCCAGATGGAATGTACTGCACATATCAGACCAGGCAAGGAGATAACAAAGTTGGGTAAAGAAACATGCAGCAAAACAACGGAACAATTTCAAATGATACCAGGTATGGACAATTCCGGCACCCAAGGCAAACCCTGTACACAGCCCAAACAGCAACTGTTGACGGAAATACCTGGGTCTCCATGTTGTAGGTAGGCTGTTCCAATATGTAATCCTCGTCCTTCTCAACGCCATTCACGAACAGCCGCCCCCCCTTCACCTCCACCAAGTCTCCTTCAGTGGCAACAATTCGCTTCACAAACACCTCTCCCTCACTGTAGCCATGCTTCTGCGCGTTTCAACACCGCACATGGCACACATAAAATACAGTGTAACAATGCGAGTTTCAGATACAGTGAGCAACAGGGACGGCGAGCACCAATGAGACATCGTCAAGAGGGAGAAGAATACACGGGGAGTCAGAGAGGAAAGCTTATCTACCTTCAGGGCCTTGGGCGCCTTGAAGATGACCACATCGTCGACCTCAGGCTTCCTGAAATAGTATGAAACCTGCTCATTGATGGGGGAAGGGGAGTCGATGCCAGATTAATCGCTGTACAAATTAACTCGTGAACACGAATTGCACAATATGTTTGAAAACATCGAAACAGGTTGGCTTACCTTTTCTGCGACGATTCGGTCCCCCACGTCAAGCGTGGGGTACATGGAGAGCGACGGAATGAACCGCAGCTCGGCGACGAAGCGAAAGATCAGGGACATCGCAAGCGTCGCCAACACCGCTTTGGCCTCCTCCGCCGACAGCGGAAGCCACTCGGGTAACCACATAAATTGCCGACTGGCAACCGAATTCTTCGCCGACTCCTTCAAGCCTGCGAATTCAAGGCTGTTGGTAACCTGGCTGTCGGAATATCGCACTTCGCTGGACAGCGAAACCGCCTCAGAAGCCCGAACAGGCCCACAGGACTCCAAAGCGGCTTTTCCGTTCAACGAGGAGCACAGAAACGCCCTAGCCTGCCAGATGTTACCCCAAAAATTGCTGCCGGAATTCATGATTCCGTTTATTCCATTGACTCCGCCTTCATTGCTGTATGATACACTTGCACTCCCTTGTGCTCCTTTTCTCATGGCTGACGCGCGAAGACCCATCGTGGCTACCTCTCCCTCCTTACGGCAGGAGAGGTGAACCCGAATAGATTTCGCCACGAAAGCTTGGAGGCACGGAGCGTTAGAAAATGCAAATTTCCGCGACTTCGACAAATTGATACCACCAGCCCCTTCCGACGACAACGAAACTCCTCCCACAGACAACCGCTGCATGCAACACGAGAGACCCGTAGAACCAGCCGCAAAACCGGCCATTGCAGCCATGGTAAGACGCCTTGCCAGCAGCTGCAACAACACGCCGCGTGCACACAGCACCAGCACCCCACAAATGACTGTTACGCCATCTTCATTTTCCCACGAGATACCATCCTCCTCATATATAAAGAGGAGGTAGAAGCTAAGCACACCAATACATATCGCCCTGAAACGGTGTAGGTAACAAGCTGTGAGAGCTTTACTCGCCAACGCTTGGGCCTGTCAGGCCCAGAACTCGTGAAAAACGCCTTTCGCCTCTTCGCCCTTTTCCTAACAAACCTAATCAATACTCTGACGATGACGTTCCTAACTCAAAAGTGAAACCCTAGTTTGGCTCTCTCTGGTTGATATGCCCTCAACCAGTCCAGGTCCTGCCCAACTCCTGCAGTTGCTGGTGCATTCGACCATTCTCTTGCGGAACAGCGCCGCTGCTGCAGCGGAAGTTGGTGGGGGAGGTGGAAAGAGGGTTTGAGGGGAAGGATGGCGCAGAAAGGAGGGTGAAGTTGCGGGGAGCGGAGCGAGTGCCGCTGTGGGCGGAAAAATGGCGGAGTTTCCCGATCTGTTCGACGTGCCAGAGAGAACGTTTTTATGCCTGGGTTATCGGAAATGATCCGACGGTCTGACAGCCACATGTAACATCTGACGGTCTAGATGTGTGCCCGGATCCACCTGATTCACCCGAAATGATGCCCCGTTGGTCAGGAGGAGGGACGCGCGAATGCGCGGAACCTGCAGAACATGGCGACCTCGTTACTGTACACAGCCAGTGAAAGTCCATCCGGTCGTGCCTGTCTTGCCAGCGCGACAAAGGTTTGTGCTGCACAATGTTTCATGAAGGTTGTATTTCCTTTCCGACCGACAAAGCGGTGTGTTCCGCATGCAAAGTCGAAACGGAGATGGAGCATCTTAGCGCGTACAGTCAGTATACAGACCCCAAAATCGAACTGCTCGCCCAGTCATCAGGTGGTAACGCGCCCGCTAACTTTCTCGTGCTATGCGAGGGAAAACCAAACAAAATTCGTGAGCCTCGCGGAGTAGCCGTTCCTTTGGCAAGCATCCATCATCTCTCGCTGCTCGCTTCGCTATTGCTGACACTTTTTCGCAGCAGGCAGCAGCAGCAAATGACAAAATCCAAATTCCCCCTCCACGCAGACTGCGCAAAAACAACCCTTCCGAAGCGCAGAACTTGTCAGCCCTTCATGCGGCTCGGGGCTCAAATTTCAGAGCCAAAAGCGAAAATGTAGCGTGGCCGGACCACCCCACTGCTGCACTCAACAGCGGGTAGGCGGCACCCCGTTCATGTGTTGAGCACTCACTGCAAAGCAAATGATGGGACCAACACCTGCAATCGGTAATCAACACCCTGGCATTGACGCCATTGTCTGAACAAGCAAATTATTTAGTCAACGACCAAGCACTTCTACGTGAGACATATTTTGCGCCAAATCGGCTGCCAATATATTGGAGTACCTCGTTTAGGATATCCTTTGCAATCATATTTCAGAACAAGGGGGAATACAAACGCCTGTTGGCAGGACGACAACGCAATTCGCCATGGATAGAAAACGAATCGCCTTGTCTGCTTCCTCTCTCTCCCTCATCGCCCTCATGACTACTCTTCCCGTCATCCTCGCTAACAACTGCCCCAATTTTGCGAACGAACGATCAGCATGCACGCAAGACACATGCGGACGATACGTCTACAAAGGAAAGTTTACTGTGCAAGGCACGAAGCAGTATCGCCTCACTGCCGCACCGAACGGGATGAATCTCGGCCCCAACGCCACTCCCGGCGACTGCTGCCACCAATGCCGGAGCAACGGCGACTGCGCGTTCTGGAACCTTCTCCTGCCCTCTGGTCTCTGCCTTCTCTTTACCGAAGGAGCTTGTAACGGGGACGCGCATGTCTACGTTCCCGGTTTACCCAACTCATAGTGAGTACACGCTCTCCTGTTTTGTTGATATATGCATATCCGCGTTTGCCGATATCTTGTCAGCCACGTTCAAGGGAGCTCTATTGTTTCTCTTCCTCTCTGGTTCTTTATTTTCCAAACCTCATTCTCGGGTCTATATCCTAAAGCTGCGATTTCTTTCCCTTTCTCCTCGTTCCTTTCTCTCGCAATTCCCAACTCTTCAGTGTGGGTGGCCGTTGCCATTCTGAAGCGAAGCTCGCCACCACTGCCGCAAGTGCCGTCAAGTGGGCCGTGGGACCCGCGCTTTACCACTCCAAAATCGGCGCGGCTCCCGCCGGACCAGTAGCTCACGAGAAGCTGTCGGACCGCGCGTTCTGTCTGATAAGCGACCCGTCGTTTCACATCAACATGCAACTGTCAGGCTACACGGATAACCGCGGTGCCACCGCTTCGACCCCCTCCTCCTTTGGTGGTAACTCGCGGACTCAGCGACCGGCCGTTGTTCGCGCGTGGATTCGCGAAGTTTCGCTAATGTGGGGGAGAGGGGGCCCCGGACAAGCTCAGCACGTGCTGCGAATGGCTGCGAGAAGGACAGCGCAGCAAGAGCGGGGCGACGGATACGTCGCGACTATTGACGTGGACGAGCATCCTATGCCGAAGCTAGTGGTGAGTGTACGAAACGCCTCAAATATGCAACCATGCAATCCCGTCTTATTATTTCTCGCGAGGAGTTGTGGTTTTGTGGGGTTGTGTCGAGACTCCTCTCCCCTGTATGCTATTCGTTGTTCCTTCCTTCACGACGCCGTTTCCGTCATGTCTATCCACCTTTCCTTCTCTCACCCAACTCGTTTTCATTTCCTACTTTCTCTCTCCGTGCTTGACGGTCGCCACGCTTGAGCAGTTGGGAGATGAGCTCTCGTTGTTTGACGGCGCGGCGACGATTCTCCTAGCAGCGCACGAGAAGCAGGGCCCGTACGACGTGGACGTGTACGCGTTAAAAGTAACCGGTGTGATTGAAGCGGAGGTTCGCGTTCGACGGGTGCACCCTCTGTTACAAGAACCTGATGACGCTGAGGCGCACATCAACCTGGCTATCCTCGATGTAGCGTACTCCCCTACAGTGCACGGCCTCTTGGGTCAATTCTACCGAGCCAACGCCACGTCAGAACCCACGCTAAACTACTCCATTCTGTCACACCTAATGGCCATGCCATTGGTTCCTTCCCCCGAATCGTCTTCCGATGGGGAGCTTGAGGGAGTACCAGAAGATTACGTCACGTCCTCCCTCCTCGCTCCTGACTGCAAATTCACTCAATTCTCGCTCTTCCCTAAGAAGACCACCAGGGTCGACAGCGTAGATAGCAGTAGCACTGGGAGCAACAGCGACACTGATAGTGACAGCAGCAGCGGCAGCAGCAACAGCAGCAGAATGACTGAACCCCCCAACAGTGAAATCTTCATTCTTGGTGAGGGTGATGATTTAGAAGTTGATTATTCAGGTGTTCAGGTAGAAGACACGGCGGCTGAGGCAGCTGAAATGGCTCTAGGGGAAGCTGACATGACTGAATCGATCCTTTCAAAAGCAGCTGAAATGGCTAACCAAGTAGCTGACGCTGCTGCTGCCGTGAATCCCGAAGAGACTACTCTCAAGCTCTCTCAAGTGGGGTCAGCTGATAATGAGCAAAGAACTGCTTTTTGAGGGAAACTGCATTTTCGCAAAATTTTCCAGCATGATTCTACTCGGATTCATATTAGGCTAGTTGTTAGTTAGCTACTACGACGTAGGCGATTTGTGGCAAGCGTAGTGTAAATGCTGTAAATCTAGGAGTCACAGAACATTTCAGTTTGAAGCAAACCCTATTATCCATGACTAGTGGCAGGGAGGATTTGTTAGAAACAACAGGGATAGTAACACCATAAGAACTCAGTGATCACTGAATTCCCCAGCCGTGTCAAGTATTTTACACATGTGAGCAGCTTCTGCTGCACCAATCAGCAACAGTACGAAGCGTGCTGTTATGTTCTCCCTAAACCCAAGCCGAAGAGGAGAGGTGTCGATAGTGGTAAGCACGAAAAACGTCGCCGAGGAGCCATATGTACCCGGTTCTCGCGTTTGAGATCTGCTGGCGGAAGGTAGGTGCTACCACCGATGCTGTATGCTCAGGTCAATCGACGATGTCTGGGTCAGCTTCAAGATGCTCCGTGTCCGTGCCTTGTAAGGTGCCGCTGGACATGTGGGACTTCTGCGTTGTAGAGCTGGTGGCGTTGAATAAGACGTGAAACTGTCACAGACACCTGAAAGACATCAAGACGACGAGGATCAGTAAAATTAAATTTCACAATTATTTCTCAATAGCTGTTTAACGGAATAATCTGAACGGAGACGCGCGCTAGCACGTACCATTGGTTGCGCGCGGCTCGCTTTTGACATCACGCTTCACTCGCTTCAGTGCTTCACTTCTGAAAGGAGAAGCGGAACGGCCAAGCTTCTTGTTCATGAAAACAGGAAAATGCTCTGGAGTGGACGAAAGTGTCGTAAATGCTGTCGATCTTGTCCTCTGGGGAGACGCTGGCTCTAAATCAGGCACTTGGCTGATCCCATACCCCTGACATGCCTCTTCAGGCTCGTCTTCAGGTTGTGGGATCCATGGAATCCAAATAGATCCTGCAAACGACATGGCTATCTCGGCTCTGAACGAGGAATTCAGATGGTTCGTGATGTGAAATACTAATAATGAGAACGCTGCTAACCAAAAGTCAAGAACGAATGCAGAACTTGCTTCAGGATGGACTTCGTGTTCTGCTGTTGGTGAAGGTGGTCTATTGAGTCCTTTCTTATACACTTGGTGGGTCTCGGGTCTGGTTAGGAAGGCGAAAACCTTCTGAAACTTTAGTCGGTGGTAGGATTGACGGACTTCTGGTTTGGTGTTGTGTGAGCTATCCTTGACGGGAAACCAGGCACAGATTCACGGAAGTCCGTTCTGGTGCTGTTCTCCAGGCAACGGTCTGATCGCATGCAGGTTCAGTCGCTCGTGGACCTTGGGATTGGTTCAAAGCACACAGATCGACGGTTTCGAACAAATCAGCTGGTCCAAGCCGAAGGCTTCTGTCAGTTCCGCCGGCGTTGTGCCTGACATCTCTGCTTTTCCGCAAGCGAGCGGGATTGCGGTGGGGGACGACGGAGGTGCAGCGAATGCCAGAAGAAGTGACAGCGAAATATCGCTGCAAAGTCCAAACCTGTGACTCGTTATTGAATGATTTTGTGAAGGGTCAATTCGGCTGCTTACTACATGCTCGCTTTCCATAAAGTTCAACTCTGTGATTTTTTACCATACGCCATGTTATCAGTCCCCGCTACTTTCAAGTCACTCTGTCAGTACGACGCCACCGCACTTAACCGTAACGCCCAGACAGAAATGTCACCCTGAACTTGTCCCTGACAAAAACTGCTTTCTCATTCCGAAGGTTAGTGATTTTGCCTCTAGGTCTACGGGTTTCCGACTCTGAGTTCATTGAATCTCCCCTTCGTCCTTCCGCTTTCCCAATCCATTGAGGACTTTCGCCTTGTTGATACGAGGCGTAGTTATTCGTAGTGTTAGGCGTAATTAGCGGCTTCAAGCGCAGCTAGGTTTCCACCGTATCAGGAAAATCACAAGGTTATAACGAGCCGGAGCTTCTGTCGTATCGCGAACAGTTTTAGTCACTAGCCGTTATGAGGAAATTGAAGTATCATGAGCAGCGGCTCCTGCGGAAGGTGAATTTCCTGCAATGGAAGACCGAGAACAACGATCGAGAGCTGGAGGTCATGCGAAGATACCACATCACCGAACGCGACGATTACTCCAAGTAGGGTTACCAGCAAGAGGTAGTGTTACAGGACACGGGAAGGGAGGCTGGGAAGTTTTGGGATGGGGGTTTGTTGGGGGATGGGGGATGGTGTGGATGGGAGAATGGCTGTGTGTCATAAGTTTCCGCAATCGGGTTAAGTGCGGTGTGTGAAAAGTAGGTATACGTTGGAGTTCGCAGGGCGGGGTTTTGAGGCGGGTTGGGGTTTTGGGGGAGGAAGATAAGGGGAAGAAGAAGGGTGGGGAGCTTGGGGTTGATGTGGGGTTGCTTTGCGGAGACATTTACGCGCGTAGAGGTCCTGAGTCAGTAAGTTATGGGGAGGGAGGGGGGAATGGGGGAGAGCCAAGTTCATTTATACTTGCGGAGCAGGGTTCTACTGTAACAAAACAAAAGTGGGTGATGTGCTGAGAATTTTCAAAAGAGCATTTTGCTGTTCCTGTGCACTCTCCTGCTTGTGCTGTGGTTGTGCTTTTACTTTACTTGTATCAAGGCCGCACGCACAACCAGCTGTGCGTGCGGTAAGATCACAAAGTTGACAACCATGCTCAAGGAAACTGGGAAATTCATGCTATGTCCGTGCTTGTGTGCGTGTGCGTGTGCGTGTGCTTGTGCCTGTAATTGTGATTGTGCGTGCCTGTGCTTGTGCTTGTATTGAGACTGCAGGTACAACCGGCTGTGCGGTAAAATCACAAAGCTGACAACGCTACTCAAGAAACTGGATCCCTCTGACGCATTCCGAATTGAAATGACCGACCAGCTGCTTAATAAACTGTGAGTAGCGCTTTCCCTTCCAATCTTGCTTCTCCTTTCCCCTCCTGCTATGAAACGATTCGAGAGAAACTGGATCCCTCCGACCCCTTTTGAATCGAAATGACCGACCAGCTGCTCAACAAACTGTGAGCGGCTTTCCCCCTCTCCCCTCCCCTCCCTCCCTCCTCACCCTTCCCTCCTCTTGTTCTACCTTTCTCCCTCTGTTCTGAGTCGCCTCCCTCCCAAGAATCTGGATCACTCCGACCCCTTCTGGGTTGGAATGACTGAACAGCTGCTCAACAAGCTATGAGTAGCACATTCCCTTCTGCTCTTTCCGCCCGTTCCCCCACTTCTCTTTCTTTCCCTCCAACCCCTTCCGGATTGGAATGACTGCCTAACTAGCTGTGAGTAGCACATTCCCTTCTGCTCTCTCCGCCCGTTCCCCCACTTCTCTTTCTTTCCCTCCGACCCCTTCCGGATCGAAATGACTGACCAGCTGCTTAACAAGCTTTGATAGCGCTTTCCCTTCTTCCTCTGCTCTCATTCTTTTCCCACTTCTCTTCTTTCCTCTCCAACCCTTTCGAATCGAAAAGACTGACCAGCTGCTTAACAAGCTCTGAGAGTCATACCCACACAGACAAGCCAGTCAGCGCCCCTCTCTTTCTTCTCCCTCCAACTCTGCCACGAGGTGACTTTTGAGTCCCACGAGGTGACTTTTGAGTGGACTCAAAAGTCACATTGAAATGACTGACTAGCTGCTTAGCAATCTTTGAGAGTCATACCCACACAGACAAGCCAGACAGTGCCCCTCTCTTTCTTCTCGCTTCAATACTATCACTAACTTTCCTCTCTTTCTTCCTTCACCTACTCTACTCCCGCTGCTCTCCTAACCCCTTCCCCCTCTCTTTCTTCCCCCACCCCCACCAGCGATAACATGGGAGTCTATGCCCACACAGACAGACAGTTTTTTGTAATTCCTCTTCTCTTCTCTCCATACCCTACCCCCCTCTGTCCCCATCCCAAAACCCACCAGCTACAACATGGGAGTCATTCCCACACAGAAAAACCACACCTCATCCCTTAATCCCTCGTCTCTCCCTCCCCCCCACACAGCTACAACATGGGAGTCATTCCCACACAGAAAAACCACACCTCATCCCTTAATCCCTCGTCTCTCCCTCCCCCCCACACAGCTACAACATGGGAGTCATTCCCACACAGAAAAACCACACCTCATCCCTTAATCCCTCGTCTCTCCCTCCCCCCCACACAGCTACAACATGGGAGCCATTCCCACACAGAAAAACCACACCTCATCCCTTAATCCCTCGTCTCTCCCTCCCCCCCACACAGCTACAACATGGGAGTCATTCCCACACAGAAAAACCACACCTCATCCCTTAATCCCTCGTCTCTCCCTCCCCCCCACACAGCTACAACATGGGATTCATTTCCACACAGAAAAACCACACCTCATCCCTTAATCCCTCGTCTCTCCCTCCCCCCCACACAGCTACAACATGGGAGTCATTCCCACACAGAAAAACCACACCTCTTCCCTTAATCCCTCCTCTCTCCCTCCCCCCCACACAGCTACAACATGGGAGTCATTCCCACACAGAAAAACCACACCTCATCCCTTAATCCCTCGTCTCTCCCTCCCCCCCACACAGCTACAACATGGGAGTCATTCCCACAACAAAAAGCCTCAACCTTTGCGATAAGCTCTCCGTCTCGTCGTTTTGCAGGTAAGACCCTTTTTTTTTCATGCTATTGAGTTTATTTGATGAGAACGAAAGTGGGCACATGCTCTATCAAGAAACAATATATTGATAAGTCGCGCTGTCACACGCACAAGGGCCTTGCTCCCAACCCGCACAAATGAATCTCAAAAGCTGACTTTTGAGTCGACTCAAAAGTCAGCTCGGTATTGAGTCGTGTTTTGAGTCGACTCAAAAGTCAGCTCGGTTTAATGTCACACGGCGTTTTTTTCTGCCCCAACCACAAGGGCCTTGCTCCCGACCCGCACAAATGAGTCTCAGAAAAAACGTTTTTATCCCTCTGTTGTTTCTAATTCTCCTGGTTTCATCTCTCCCGGGTTTCATTTCTCCCGGGTAAAATGAACTTTTTATACATTTTTTTTTTTCTCTGTTGTTTCATTTTTTTTTTTTTTTTCAGACGAAGGCTAGCAGTGGTGATGGTGCGACTCAAGATGGCGGAACACATGAGAGAAGCAGTTTCGTTCGTGCAGCAGGTGGGGATGGGTTGGGTGTGGTTGAGCAGGTGTGTTGAGGTGTGGGTGTGTTAGGCGTGGTTATGTGTGTGAAGGGGTGTGGTCACAGACTCACAGCAGGCTAGCAGTGGTGATGGTGCGGCTGAAGATGGCAGAGCACATGAGGGAAGCAGTTTCGTTCGTGCAGCAGGTGGGCTGTTGGTGTGAGTAGCTATGCAGGTGTGTCTAGTTGTGCTAAGGTGTGCAAGTGTGTCCGTGTATGTGAGTGTGGTGACAGCAGGCTAGCAGTGGTGATGGTGCGACTGAAGGTGGCGGAGCATATGAGAGAAGCAGTGGCGTTCGTGCAGCAGGTGGGGAGTGAGTGTACTGTGTGTGTTGTGTGTGTAAGGGGTTCAGACACCTCGTGTGTGTATGCATGTGGTCCAAAGTTTCCAAACAGGCACTCAGGATGGCGAAGCACATGAGGGAGGCAGTGGCGTTCCTGCAGCAGGTAGGTGGGATGGGGGGTGTGATGTCATGTAAGGGGGACAGGGTTGGGGGCGTATTGTTGTCTGCGTAAGAGGGGGGGGGGATACATGCGATCCAAAGAGGCACTCAGGATGGGCGGAGCGGAGCACATGAGAGAGGTGGTGGCGTTCGTGCCGCAGGTGAGGTGGGTGGAATAGTTGACATTTGAGTCGACTCAAAAGTCAACTCGGAGCACATGAGAGAGGTGCTGGCGTTCGTGCAGCAGGTGAGGTGGATGGAATAGAAGGCATAGGATTATTTTTTGTATAAAAGGGTGGACGTGTGAGCAAGTGTGTTTGAAGCAGTCTGGTCTTCCGCTTTCTCGTATCCTCTCTTCATGTTTCCCCCAGGACCATGTTCGGATCGGCCCAGAAGCCGTGAGGGACCCGGCCTTTCTGGTGGCGAGAGCAATGGAGGACATGCTGACATGGGTGATCCCCTTATTCCCTTCTCCCCCTTCTCACATTCCCCCTTGATCCCTCCCCCAGGGCCATGTGCGCATCGGCCCAGAAGCCGTGAGGGACCCGGCGTTTCTGGTGACAAGAGCAATGGAGGACACGCTGACGTGTCTGATCCCTTATTATTCCCGTCTCCCCCCTTCTCGCATTCCCTCGTGCTCCCCCCAGGGCCATGTGCGCATTGGTCCGGAAGCTGTGAGGGACCCGGCGTTTCTGGTGACAAGAGCAATGGAGGACATGCTGACATGGGTGGACACGAGCAAGATCAAGCACAAGGTTCTACAGTACAACGATAAGGTTGACGACTATGATTCACTCAATTAGATTAGATGTTGTTTGTAACATATCATGTACCGTAGATGTGAGAGCAACGGAGGACATGCTAACGTGGGTGGATATGAGCAGATCAAGCACAAGGCAAGGCTCTACAGTAGAACGACGAACTCGACGACTAAAAGATTTTCTGAACTGAGTGTCAGACAATCGGTTACATGCAATAGAAGCTTGTTAATACCGTACCATTTGTTATGTAGAGCTAACGCAGTTGTGAGAGAATGAACTGAAATCCCAGCACAAAGGAATGGCTTCCTTCGTCCGGATGGGCCTGGAATCCAGACTTCTGTAGAGTTATGAACCCACTTTCACTGAATTACAAACAACTCCATTACATGATGTTCCACGGCTGTGTTCTGTTGGCAGATGAGTACAGGTAATCCATCAAGGACACACATTTCTAACTTTACTGGACGTGCAATCAGAGAGCAGCCCATCACATGGCACATCATCTTTCCAGACAGGTACCTGCGGAAACCAAACTGACAAAAACGAAATAGTTCCTAACAGGAGCCACCCGGGTTTGAACCGGGGACCTATCGATCTGCAGTCGATTGCTCTACCACTGAGCTATAGCTCCACGTAACGAGAGAAAACGTTTATTACTATATTTTATTGACACAAACTCTCTTCACACCAGATTTCTGCTTCTGCTCCTCACAACCATGGCGCATCAGCTTCGGCGATCCGACCGGCTGCTGGCCGTCCGATCCGCCGCTCGCATCTTCCTCCAAATCCCCTTGCCTTCCGGCATCTCCCCCGCGGCGCCCGCAGTTCCACCCCATTCTCTCCACGTCCTTCACCGGGTCGTACGCGAACTTTGCCACGTGGAAGGCAGCGGGCAGGCCAGATTGATCCAATCCCGTCCCGTCCAATGGGGTGTCGACAGGTGTCGCCCTATTCCGACACCCCCCTCCGCCGCGTTTGCGCCATTCCGCCGTTTGATCCCTGATCCGCGTGCGCCTGCGGGTAGCAAGCGCAGTTTTTCCGCCGCCACATCTCCCCCGATCCCGCCGAACTCCGCTCCGAGCGTTGGCGGAAGCATTGGCGGAAGTACTGGCGGAGCGGGCGGGCGGAAGGGCGGGCGGGGATTGGTGGGCGTGATCACGGCAGCCGCCATAGCGGGAGCGGCGGGGGGCGCGTATTATTGGTGGGAGACAGAAGCAGCGAGATTCGGACCCGGTCCCGTTATAATCACACCCGATACGAAAGTTGGCTCGGAAGAAGAAGTTAGTATATCGAGTCCCGCGGCAGACTTGGGGACTGGGGGAGGGAGGGCTGGAGACACCATAACGGAGCAGAGGGGCATAGAGGAGGGGAAGGAGGGGGAAGGAAATGAGGGGAAGGATGGGGGAGGAGAGGAGGGGAAGGATGGGGGAGTAGAAATTGAAAGGGAGGAGAGAGAAGAGGAGGGGAAGGAGGAAGCGGGAGGCGGAAGGAGGGAGGGAGAGGAGGGTGCGAGAGAAGGGGGAAGTGTGAAGGGGTCAGAAGGTTCAGTAAAGGGGGAGATTGGGGTGGAGGGGGAAGATAAGGGGGAGTTAAAGCGAAGGAAAAAGGAGGAGAAGAGGAGGGAGAAGGAATTGAAGAAGAAGGAAAAGGAGGAGAGGAAGGCGAAGGAGGGGAAGGAGGGAGAGGAGGATGAGAATGGAGGAGAGGGAGGTAAGGATGATGGTGGGGATGAGGAAAAGAAGAGGAGGAAGGAGGAGAAAAAGCGCCTTAAGAAGCTGAAAAAGGAGGAGGAAGAGAAAAAGAAAGGAGAAGAAGAGGAAAAGGGGAAGGGGAAGGAGGGGGAGGAGGAAGGAGAAATGTCGAAGGAGGAAAAGAAGCGACTGAAGAAGTTAAAGAAAGAGGAGGAGAAGGAAGAGAAGAAGAAGAAGGAAGGAAGAAAAAAGAGGGAAGGGGAGGAGAAGGGGAAGGAGGAAGAGGAGGGGGAGACGGAAGGAGAGAAGGGGAAGGCATGGGACGAAAGCGAAGATCACAGCAAGGTGGAGGGAGCAGCTGACGTGGCCGCTGACGTGGCAGCTGATGTGGCAGTTGGTGTGGCAGCTGAGGTGGTGAGGATCGAGTCAGCAGCCAGGAATGCGGAGGCGGAGAGGGGAAGGAGGGAGAGGGAGCGACAGCTGGCAGCGATGCAGGTGAGAGGGAGGAGGGAGAGGAGGGAGGGAGGTTTGGGAGGAGGGGAGGGGGGGCGAGGGGGGGGAGGGAGGGGGGGAGGGAGGGGGGAAGGGAAGGAGGGAGTTTAACTGGTTTAAGAGGGAGAGGGAGGGATTTTCTGCGGTTTCCTAGACTATCCACTATCCGCTATCCCCTATCCGCTATCCGCTATTTGGTATCCGCTATTAGGTATCCGCTATTTGGTATCCGCTATTTGGTATCCGCTATTTGGTATCCGCTATGTGGTATCCGCTATTTGGTTTCCGCTATTTGGTATTTCCTATTTGGTAACCGCTTTTTGGTAACCGCTATTTGGTATCCGCTATTTGGTATCCGCTATTTGGTATGCGCTATTTGGTATCCGCTATTTGGTATCCGCTATTTGGTATCGGCTATCCGCTATACACTATCCACTCTTTATGTATACACCAACCCTACGTCTCTTCTCGCCTGCCCTTTCTTTCCTCTCTACCTTCTTCTGTGAATGAAACCCCCTCCGCCCTCCTCCCCCTTCCTCCCCCAACGCCCTCCTCCCTCCCCCCTCACGCACAGAGTGTCCACGTGGCAGAACAGGATTCGCTGGCAGCGGCGGTGCGAGAGAAGGAGAGGGAGGGGGAGGTGGAGCGGGAACGGATTGAGCAGCAGAGGGAGGAGATGGGGAGGGAGTTGGAGGAGTGGGAGGAGGGGGAGGCGAGGAGACAGCAGGAGGAAGAGCAGGAGATGGTGAGTGAGGGGTTGGGGAAGGTGAGTGAGGGGTGGCACTAGCATGGAAGTGGTAAGGGGGACTAGATAAGCTGTGGGAGGATGGACAGCAGAGGGAGGAGGGGAGAAGGTAAGTGAGGCGTGGCACTAGCATGGAAGGGGAAAGAGGATTAGACAAGCTGTAGGTGGACGGTCCGCAAAGGGTGGAGATGGGGAGGGAGTTGGAGGAGTGGGAGGATGTGGAAGCAAAGAGGCAGCAAGAGGAAGAAGAAGAGATGGTGAGCGAGGGGTGGCACAAGCATGGAAGGGGCAAGGGGGCTTGGATAACCTGTGTGGGGACTGACAGCAGAGGGGATTTTTGAGGCGCCTCAAAAATCGGAAGAAGAGGAGATGGTGAGTGAGGGGTAGCACAAGCATGGAAGGGGTAAGGGGGCTTGGATAACCTGTGGGGGGATGGACAGCAGAGGGAGGAGGGGAGATGGTGAGTGATGGGGGGCACAGGCATCAAAGTGAGGGGAGTAGGAGGTAAGCTTGGGGGTAGGAGACAAGTAGAAAGGGTCTGTCGCAGACAAAAGAGTTTTGAGACGACTTTTGAGGCGCCTCAAAAAGAGTTTTGAGACGTCTCAAAACTCTACTTCAAGTAGGAGACAAGTAGAAAGGGTCTGTTGCAGACAAAATCGAAACAGTGTGGGGAAAGGAGAGGCAGACAGCAGATTGTTCCAGGCCATATCCACCCTGCAAGCAGTGCTGCAGAGTTGACTTATGAGTCGACTCAAAAGTAAAATCGAAACAGTGTGGGGAAAGGAGAGGCAGCAGATTGTTCCAGGCCATATCCACCCTGCAGTGTGGGGGCGGGTATGGCCCTTGCAGGAGGCCATATCCACCCTGCAAGCAGTGCTGCAGCAGCAGCTGGTGGCAGTGGCAGCAGCAGACGCAGGTTCAACCCATTTACCCCTCTTCTCCTCCACTCCTTTGCTTCTACCCGTCTCTTCCTCTCCATCCGCCCGTCCCTCCCTCCAGGCCATATCCACCCTGCAAGCAGTGCTGCTGCAGCAGCTGGCGGCAGCGACAGCAGCAGAGGCCGGGGCGAAGGAAGCAGCAGAGGCACATGGGAAGCAGACAGAACTACTGAAAGAGGAGGTGAGTGCATAGAAGGGCGGGGAGATGAGGAAGGGATAAGCTCTTAGGAGGGAGAGAAGCTGCAGAGGCACGGAGACGCAGGCAGCAGGGGGACACGAGGAGCAGATGGAATGGAAGTGGTGAAAGGGGAGGTGAGTGAGTGTTTGAGGTGTGGGGTGTGCATGGAGGAGTGGGGAATAAGCTCTGAGGAGGGGGAAGGGCTGCAGAGGCGGAGGCGAAGCAGGCAGCAGGGGGACACGAGGAACAGGTGGAATGGAAGTGGTGAAAGGGGAGGTGAGGATAGCAGAAGGTGTTGGGTGGGGAGTAAAGTGCGCATCTTGCTTTGTTCCCTCTACTGTTTCTTCCCCTCTGTGTGTCTTTTTGTGCATCTCAGCAGATTTGTTCTCTGAGGGATGTTTCCTTCCATCAAACTCAGGCTGTCTTGAGCAAAGCGAGTCTCGCTAATCTCTTTGTGCCTCTGTATCTCTCCGTGCGTATTTGTGTGCGTGTTGTATGCATGTGTGTATGTATGTCCATTTCTGCAGATCTCTGCTCTGAAGGATGTTTTCTTCCATCGATCACAGGAGGACAGGCTGTCATGGCATTCACACAGAGTGGCTCTGGTGAGATGCAGTGCGGTGCAGAGTGGTGTCTTGGAGATTGGTCTGTGTGTGTATCTGGGTCCATGTTTGCACATCTCTGCTCTGAAGGATGTTTTCTTCCAGCGGTCTCAGGAGGACAGGCTGTCATGGCATTCACACAGAGTGGCTCTGGTGAGATGCAGTGCGGTGCAGAGTGGTGTGTTAGAGATAGCTGTGTGAGTGGTTCCATCTCTGCAGATCTCTGCTCTGAGGGACCTTTTCTACCAGCGATCTCAAGAGGACAGGCTGTCATGGCATTCACACAGAGTGGCTCTGGTGAGTTGCAGTGCAGTGCAATGCGGTAGGATGGTAGGGTTTTTTTATATCCTATCCTATGGTGCAGAGAAAATGGCGGGGATGTCTTGCAGAGAAACTGGGGAGAGATTAAGTACATGCAAAGGTCCCCAATCCTCTGCCCATACATGGAATGGGCAATCCGCTGCAGCCAATCCGCTCCTCCCTCCTCCACTTCCGCTCCTCTCACTCCCATTACCTTCCCTTATGTACCTCCCCTCTTTTCCTACTCCGCTTCCCCTTCCAGGCGGCCATGTCTGCCCAAGAAGCAGCAGACAGCAACCAGCCCTTACAGCCAGTCCTCTCCTCCCTCCACAATCGCCCTTCTCCCTCACTCCCCTTGTGTTTCCTTATGCCTCGTACCCTCACTTTTCCCCCACCCCTTTCCAGGCGGCCATGTCTCTTTAAGAAGCAGCAGTCAGCAACCAGCCGTTGCAGCCAATTCTTTCCCCTCTCCTCCTCCACCGTTGCCCTTCTCTTCCCTCACTCCCCTTGCCTCCCTCTCTCCATCCCTCACTCCCCTTGACTTTCTTCCTCTGCTTCTCCCTGCTCCCTTCTCTTCCACGCCTCCCCCCTATCCAGGCGGCCATATCGCTCCAAGAAGCAGCAGACAGCAACCAGCCGTTGCAGCCAATCCTCTCTTCCCTCCTCCACTCCCAACCCTCTCACTCCCATTACCTTCCTCCATGCACCGTCCCCGCTTCCCCCTACTGCTTCCCCTTCTCCTTCCAGGCGGCCATGTCGCTCCAAGAAGCAGCAGACAGCAATCAGCCCCTGCAGCCAATCCTCTCCTCCCTCCTCCTGTTCCGCCTCTCTCACTCCCATTTCCTTCAATCATGTACCTTTCCCCTCCCTTCCCCGCTCCCCCCTACTGCTTCCCCTCCCCTTCCAGGCAGCCATATCTCTCCAAGAAGCAGCAGACAGCAACCAGCCCTTGCCATATCTCTCCATCCCTCACCCCCACTCTCCCCTCTCCCCTCTCCTCCTCCACCATTGCCCTTCTCTTCCCTCACTCCCCTTGTCTTTCTTCCTCTGCTTCTCCCTGCTCCCTTCTCTTCCTCCCCTCCCCCCTATCCAGGCGGCCATATCGCTCCAAGAAGCAGCAGGCAGCAACCAGCCACTGCAACCAATCCTCTCCTCCCTCCACTGCCACTAACTTTTCCATTCCCATTGTCTCTCCTCATGTGTATGATTCTTCTTCCCCCTATCCAGGCAGCCATGTCTCTCCAAGAAGCAGCAGACAGCAACCAGCCTCTGCAGCCGATCCTCTCCTCTCTCCTCCTCCACCCCGCCTCCTCCTCACTCGCTCCCCCTCCCCTCGCCAAAGTCACATCCTCTCAGTCACACCTTCAACCTCCACACTTACAGTCACAATCCGGGACAGAATCGAAATCAGAATCAGAATCAGATTTGAAATCTCAAACGCAGCCATCCCAGGATCCTCTCGTCTCATCCCTCCTGCCACGTGGCGACGACCCATTGGTCGCTGCGATCGCCGCCACCCTGCCCAAATCCGCGCTGGCCAATGGCGTGCTGACACGTCAGCAGCTGCAGGAGCGGCTGGAGGGGATGAGGGCGAGAGTGTGCCAGCTGGCGATGCTGCCGCCGGCCAATGGGGGGGAGCGGGAGGGCGTGGGAGGGGGAGCAGGAGGAAGAGGAGGAGACGGCGGACAATTGGTTGAGCCAGGTCTATTCTCACAAGCTGTGGCAGCAGTGGCAGTTGCTCTCAAGGTAAAGCATTGTGACAAGGTGAGTTTGGAGTCTCAAAACCTTGAGACAACAGGAGGGGGAGGAGGAGCGGGAGGGGGAGGAGGAGGAGGAGAGCTGGTTGAGCCGGGTCTACTGTCACAAGCAGTGGCAGTTGCTCTCAAGGTAAAGCATTGTGACAAGGTGAGTTTGGAGTCTCAAAACCTTGAGACAACAGGAGGGGGAGGAGGAGCGGGAGGGGGAGGAGGAGGAGGAGAGCTGGTTGAGCCGGGTCTACTGTCACAAGCAGTGGCAGTTGCTCTCAAGGTAAAGCATTGTGACAAGGTGAGTTTGGAGTCTCAAAACCTTGAGACAACAGGAGGGGGAGGAGGAGCGGGAGGGGGAGGAGGAGGAGGAGAGCTGGTTGAGCCGGGTCTACTGTCACAAGCAGTGGCAGTTGCTCTCAAGGTAACGTACACTGCCACTAGGTGAGTTCCGATTCTCAAAACCTTGAGACAAGAGGAGGGGGAAGAGGAGCGGGAGGGGGAGGAGGAGGAGGGGGAGAGTTGGTTGAGCCAGGTCTATTCTCACAAGCAGTGGCAGCAGTGGCAGTGGTTCTCAAGGTATCGTGCACTGTGACAAGGTGAGTTCTGAGTCTCACCCACCACAGCAAGGGAAGTACCGAGCCCTGAGCAAGCCCTGGCAGAGGCGACTGTTCTGCTGGTGGACGGGTGACTGGAGGAGGCAGCAGGGGCGTGAAGGGTAAGGGACGTGCAATCAGAGGGGCACAGCCTCACTATTGGGACGTGCAATCAGAGGGGCACAGCCTCACTATTGGGACGTGCAATCAGAGGGGCACAGCCTCACTATTGGGACGTGCAATCAGAGGGGCACAGCCTCACTATTCCTCTCTTCCCCATCTCTCTTTTCCCTTCTAACAGTTCCCAGTACCAATCACAGCAGGGGACACACCGAGCCCTGAGCAAGCCGTTGCTGAAGCGGCTGCTCTGCTGGTGGAGGGGCGACTGGAGGAGGCACCAGGGGCGATGGAAAGGGGGGTGAAGGGTGAAGGGGGGTGCTGCATCTTAACAATTCCCAGTGCCACCTCCCCAAAGCACTCTGACACCTCCCCACTGTTCCTCCCCTTCTCCCATCTGTCCATCTCCCTTCCAACAGTTCCCAGTACCAAGCACAGCAGGGGAAGTGCCGAGCCCTGAGCAGGCGACTGCTCTGCTTGGGAGGGACGATTGGGGGAGGCAGCAGGGGCGACGGAGATGGGGTGAAAGGGTGAAGTGAAGGGGTGTGCATCAACTCTAGCACCACTCCAACCATTCTGACAGCCCCCCCTTTCTGTTCCACCCTTTCCCATATGCCATTCTCCCCACTACAGCTTCCAGTACCAACCACAGCAGGGGAAGCACCGAGCCCTGAGCAAGCCGTTGCCGAAGCGGCAGCTCTGCTGGTGGAGGGGCGGCTGGAGGAGGCAGCAGGGGCGATGGAGAGAGGGGTGAAGGGGACACGGGCTGAGGGGGTGGTGAGGCGGTGGGGGGAGGAGGTGAGGGGAAGGGCAGCAGTGGAGCAGGCGGTTAGGGTGATGCAGGCGCATACAGGGTGCATGGCAGCAGAGCTCCGTAGGTGACAAGCTGTGGTTCAGTGCGGTCCAATGCGGTACATCTTGGTTCGGTCCGGTTCAGTGCAGTTTAGTGAGTGTCAATGCGGTCTGAGTTGGTATGGTCTGAGAGGGTGATGGGGCAGTGGGGCAATGGGGGGAGGAGATGGGGGGAAGGGCAGCAGTGGAGCAGGCAGTTAGGGTGATGCAGGCACATGCAGGGTGCATGGCAGCAGAGCTGCGTAGGTGACAGGATGCAGTTCAGAGCAATCCAGTGCGGTACTGTTTGGTCCAGTGTGGTTTGATGCGATACTGAGATTTGATGCGGTTCTTAGTGGCACTGTTGGAGGGAGTCGTGGGGCAGTGGGTGGGGGAAGGAGTTGAGGGACGAGTTAAATACACTGATGGCCCGAGGTTCACAGTGGCACCGACGCTACAGGTGTTTTCACCCGTACGCTTTCATTATTAAAAGAGAAGCATACCGTACAATCATACAGCAGTAAAACGTCGTCATATGGTACTCCTAACCTATTTTCCAGCGGGCCCTATAAAAATAGCATGCACGTTTTCGCTGTAGCAACTTTAGTGAACACATCAACATGCACATTTCACAATAAATCATATCGAAGCGCGAGTACAGGGGAACCTCCACATGCTCCAACCACCGGCCCGTGCCGAGCTGCGACTTGAAGCTCCAGTATACATTTGTCATTGAGGTTCAGGGTTTTACATTGTGCCTCACAGTTTTGGGGCGCATTTTCAAGTTCCTAAGGATTTTGAACCCCGGATGTTATGAGTTGTACTAAAAAGAGTGCGCGGAAGATACAGAATTACTGAATGACGATTGAATGAACAAGAGAGGCATTTATAGGGCGAATACGTGCTAGGCGCGGACCTCGGGATGTGGATGGTTTGGAGGTGTCGCGATTGGTGCGGAGCGACTCGGCAGTGGTTCGGGCCGAAGTGTAGGCCAAATCTCGAAACTGACGCGAAATGCTCGGGGCTGTCCTCGCAAGGAGCAGCCTCTACAGTAATGAATTCATATTCATTTCACCGGAGCTTTGAGCCGAGCTGAGGCTCACTTGCGAAGCCACAACATTCTCGCGAATCACAGGCTATCTCGTTTCAATTAAAACGCATTCGCAGATGTGCCTGCAAATCGTACTTCCATACGCTGAATCGAAATGTTGAGTCATACATTCAGAATTTCCTGCCTATTTTCCAGCTGGCCCTAGAAAGCTGGCAACTTTAGCAAATACATGAACATGCACATTTTCGCCGTAGATCAAATCGAAGTGCGAGTACAGGGGGACCTCCACATGCTCCAACCACCGGCTCGTGCCGAGCTGCGACTTGAGCCGAGCCACGTTGGCAGGGTCGGCGAACCAATCGTTGCTTCCGGAGATAATCAGGACCGGAATGTTGGTCGGCATGCGGCTCGGGTAGTACTGGTGGGGTGGGAAGGGGGAAGCGGGGTGGGCAAAACAATGGAAAGTTGTGTGTGTGGAGGGTGAGGGGAGGGGGGGCAGGGGGGAAGGAGGGAGAAGGGGAGAAACAGAGTCTAGGACTGGGATTTTGGTGGTCGGGCAACAAAGCTGGTTTAAAACCAGGGTGCACATTCAACGCGGTTCGGCTTGAGATGTTGGGAAGGGGGTTTGGAGAAAAACAGTGATTGGCTCACGAGGGGCGACAAAAAAATGATTCCGCTAGAGCTTCGGGCATTTCGTAGGTGGCGGGAGGGGGTGAAATGGCGGGAGTGGGTGAAACCGAATGGCGGGAGGGATGAAACAGATTGGCGGGAGGGGGGGGAAACGAAATTGCGGGGGAGGGGGGAAACGAATTTCGACGGGGAGGGGGAAATGAAATTGCGGGGGCGTGGGGAAACGAAATTGCGGGGGAGGGGGGAAACGAATTTCGACTTGAAGGGGTTGAAAGCACACCTCGTAACCCACTCAGTCAAGGGATAACCTTTGATGCACATTCAGCTGAATGTGCACCCCGGTTTTAAGGGATGACGAGGAAGCGAGGGAGAGGGGTTGTTGGTGGGATTGGGAGTGGTCTTGGGGGGAACGAAAGATGGTTTGGAGAAGTACAAGCAATGTGCTTGCACAAGAGTGTGCGTACGGACAACTGTGCTTATAATAAAGGGCTCTCACAAGTGGGGGGGTGGAAGAGCTGTAGTTGGCGGTGTTGGCTTCTGCTGACAGGAAGTCCCACAGCTGGAACTGCCGGTCTCGAATCTCTGTTAACAGGCAAATATGAAAGGGGGATCGGGGAGGGGTGAAGGAGAGGGGAGGGGATGGTTGGATAGAGGGTGTGGGGACACGGAGGATGAGTGGAAGAGCTGTAGTTGGCGGTGTTGGCTTGTGCTGAGAGGAAGTCCCATAGCTGGAACTACCTATCGCGGATCTCTGTTTATAGGGAAGTAGAGGATGGGAGAAGAGGAGGGGGGGAAGGGGAGGGGGGAAGGAGGAGGATAGCAGTTGTGGGGAGTGGAAGAGACGTAGTTGGCGGTGTTGGCTTGTGCTGACAGGAAATCCCATAGCTGAAACTGCCGGTCTCGAATCTCTGTTGATTGAAGAGAAGGGAGGGTGGAGGTTGGGTGGGGGGGGGGGAACTGGTGTGGAGGTTGTGGGTAATGAAGAGGATAGGATGGGGTGTAAGGTTTGACAGTTGAGAGAACGAGTACAGCTACTAACGAGTACAGCTATTAACGAGTACATGCCCTTCTGTCACTCTCACCTTGTTGGTAGTGGATCAAAGCCCGGTACGAAGTGGCAACCCACTGGGGGTTGAGGGCAAGAGGCGGGGCATTCGGGTCCATGCAGCAAATGGGACCTGGACGAAGGGGGCGGGAAAGGGAGAGGGGGGTGGGGAGGGAGAGTTGAAGGGGAGAAGTGGGGGAAGTGGCCACCCACTGGGAGTTGAGGCCAAGAGGCGGGGCGAAGGGATCCATGCAGCAGATGGGGCCTGGGGGAGTGGGGAAGGGGAGGGGGAGGGGGAGGGGGAGCGGGAGGGGGAGAAATGGGAGAAGAGAGATACTTTTAAGAAGCTGGGGGGTCTAGGACGAGAGCCGGGGCAAAGGGAAGTGGTACAATGTGCCTGTGACAATAGCGAATGTGTGGTGTATATATCTGCTAATGGAGTAGAGTAGCATGGCGATAAGACATGAAAACATGATGGATCATGGGTGGTGAGGAGCATTTACCTGTGACATTACTGAGAATGTCCTGAACATTCCCCGATGGAGTGAAAACGGTGTAGAAGTTAAAGCCCACGCGGCGAAGCGTCGAGACGAGAACCTCCGTTCTGGGTTGAATGAAAAAAAAGGGAAAACAGCGAGGACGTATGAGATGAGAAGAGGAGAGCGTGTTTCGATGTTAAAACATTAGAGAAAACACAAAAAAAAAAAAAATACAAAAGAAAAAAATAGAAAATACAAGAAAACACTAGGAAAAACATTAGAACACAAGGAAACATTAGGGTTTGTGGAAAGGGAAGAACATTAGATCTGAGCAGCATTGAAGAAAACACAAGTTAATGGTAACTCACGCTGTGAGGTTGTAAGCTCCATTGAGCAAATGGTTCTGATAGAAGAACTGTACAGACAATCAGAGCAACAAAGGCAAAACAGGAAACAGAAAAGGAAAGAAAAACAGAGAGGCGGAGTTGGCAAAGAGACAAAAGAATGCCCTGAGACAAAGCAGAGCAGCAGGCGGTGCAATGGCAGGCAGAGAGGCAGGCAGAGCGGCACAGGCATTCAGCACAGGAGAGGTGATGTTGAGGAGGTAGATAAATGGGAGCAATAGCAGTGAGAGAAAAGGGAGGCAACAGGGAAGAGCAGGTGACAGGGTGATGTGTGTGCTGGCAGCACAGCAGCTAGCAAGAGGTTCAATAGAGCACTCACAATATCGGGGCTCCAGTTGTTGGCCCAGGCGTCCAGCACCGGGGAGGTGATGTTGACGAGGTAGGCGATGGGAGCGACGGCAGCGACAGAGGCGATGGTTTGGCGGGTGTATTCAGGATAGGTGGATGCGAGGGCGAAGGGGAGCATGGCGCCCTGATGGGGAGAGGGGAGGGAGTGGGGAGAGGGGAGGCATGGGGGGGAGCGGGTGAGGCATGGGAGGGGGCAACAGAAGTGACAGAGGCGACTGTCTGGCGGGTGTATTCAGGGTAGGTGGATGCGAAGAGGGGCCGTACCTGGTTGTACCCCACGAGGTGCACTTTGGGGGAGGCGGTGACGGTGGTGATGACTCGCAGCACGGCAGGCAGGTCGAATTGAACCAGCTGGTCGAAGTCCCAGTCCCAGTATTGCTGTGGTTCGGAGGGGTGGAGAGGGATGGAACAATGTTTGGCAGGCAGGTCGAACTGAACCAGCTGGTAACGATGGGGCATGGTTGTGAGGGGTGGAGATGGATGGAACATGCGTGTTTGAATCGACTCGCAGCACAGCAGGCAGGTCGAACTGAACCAGCTGGTCACAATCCCAGTCCCAGTATTGCTATGTATTGCTCACCCGTTGCAAGGGTCAACTATAAGGGAGCAGACGAACAACTAGCAATTAACCCCACCCTCCAACTCACCCACTGCTCAGTCGTGTAGGTGACGTGGCGGGGGGATTACTCGGTGCAGCGGTGGTTAACCACCCACACAAGGGGCAGGTGGACAACAAGCTATAATTCTCACTCATGCTCTCTCTTACTCACCCACTGCTCTGTCGCATAAGTGACGTGATGGGGGGAGTACTCGGTGCAGCGGTGGTTAACCACCCACACTTCCACACAAGGGTCAATAAGGGAGCAGAGGAACAAGCAGCAATTTACCCCACTCTCCAACTCACCCACTGCTCAGTCGTGTAGGTAACGTGGCGCGGAGAGTACTCGGTGCAGCGGTGGTTAACCACCCACACGTCCATGCCTCTGTTCGCTAGAATCACAGGCAGCCTCTTGTACGCGATAGGGTCCACTGTGACATTAGAGAGGCCGAACCAGAGCTCGCCCCCCAGTATAAGCCCGTGGTCTAGAAGCACA